ATAAAGCAAAAAGAAATCGTTGTTTATACATTTACACTGGTTGTTAATTTAATTTGGATCATAAAACTGTTCACATCTTTGGAAAATTCAAAATACTAATCAGTATGCACCCTCCGTTGCGAGAGAATTCAGTCAATTATATCAACTTATTAATTTCAAATGTTTATCTTATTTTGAATTGATGATGTTTGCGACTTATCGCCTCATTACCAAATTGCTTAATAGTAGACTTGTTTAGAAGTTTCTAAAAGTGATTCTAAATTGGCAATTAGTTTTTGTAACAGTTTCTTCTATATCTTTCAGTTTGTGTATCTGTAGTTTGTTCTACCTATAAAACGGTGATAATGTCAGTGCAAGCAGTGACTTCTGAGGAACGCCAGTACTAAGTTTTAGAGCTTATGGAAGGTCTATAATCTATAACAACGGTCGGCAACAGGCGGGCCTCGAAAAGTGGAACATCGGACCGCCAAATATTGTAATGTGTTATACAGGGCTTTTCATGATGAGCGTTAATTAGCCGTTTCTGGCAGACTATTCAACGGATCAACCTGAAAATTCCACAGTATGCATAAGTCAATATGACCTACACCCCTAAAATATTTTAGACGAAGCGGCGTTGTCGCTTCTACTATAAAGTAGCGGCTTCTTTGATTTTCCAAATGGAACACCCCGTATATAATATCATATTATGATTCATTATCACTTTGTCAACAAATTCATATACTATTTCCCTATACCTANATATACGGGGTGTTCCATTTGAAAAATCAAAGAAGCCGCTACTTTATAGTAGAAGCGACAACGCCGCTTCTTCTGAAATATTTTAGGCGTGTAGGTCATATTGATTTATGCATACTGTGAAATTTTCAGGTTGATCCGTTAAATAGTTTGTCAGAAACGGCTAATTAACGCTCATCATGAAAAACCCTGTATACCAAGTATAAAAATTAATACGCAGATAAGGTTTACTATACCTTTATTAATTGAAGTAATTTTTTTAAGCCACACAGAATTCAACTAAGTATGTAATTATTTCAAGTTGCCTAGTCAACCTATTTTACAAGTACCTACAACTGATATGGTTTTATTAGTTTCCTATCTACCCTGTGTGTATGTGTGTTTGTGCATGCTTGCCACTATTTTGTTTTGTGATTTTTCGAATTTTCATAATATTTTCGTACCTATGATAATATGGATTCTAAAAAGGATTATGGATTCTAAAAGTGGACAGTGAAAATACGATTTTTCCGGCAGAATGGACTGAACAATATTGTTTTACGCTGCCCCAAGCGGTTCCAGTTTGCCTTATATGCAATAAAACTGTCGCTATTGGTAAGAGCGGTAATTTGAAGCGACACTACGAAACAACTTATCAACAATTTCATAAAAACTTTCCTCTTGGCAGTAAGGCTCGCAAAGAAAAACTTCAATCTCAGTTCTCACAAAAAAAAAACACAAAATGACTAGTTCGTTGCATAAGCGAGCAAAAAAAATCCACAGAAGCAGCGCTACGTGTGTGCTGGACGCTTAATAAACAGCAGATGGTGAGATGGTGAAAAAATGTGTGTTAGAAAGTCACGGCACTTTTAGAAGAAAAAAGATGTCGCTGCATTTCAAAGTATTCCATTATCGGCGAGAAGTAATACACGAAAAACGGAAAGTTTTGCTGCTGATATTAAAAACACTCATCTTGAACTTCTGTAAAAGGCACCTTGCCACGCTATAGCACTTGATGAATCATGTGACATTGTTGATGATGAACAAATGTCTATTTTCTTAAGATTTCTTGATATTGAGTGTCAGATTCTTAGGGAAGAGTTGCTAGCAAGATTGCTGTTGAAAGGTTACTCTCAAGGAGAAGATTTATTCAAGGTCATTGATGAATTTATTACTAAATCTGACATTAGTTAAGATAAAATGGTGTCGTCGCTTTCAACTGACGGGGCCACAGCAATAATTGGCAAAGAAAAAGGTGTAATAAAGAAAATCAGGGATAAAAACTCGGGTCTAATATCGTATCACTACATGATTCACCAGGCAGCCTTTTGTGGAAAAATTAGTGCTATACTGAAAGAAGTGATGGACAGCTTGGTCAAGTTGATTAATTTCATGAGATCTCATTCTGCTCTTCAGCACCGACATTTCAAGGAGTTTCGATCTGACAGCGTATTCTGACTTAACTGCAACACGACAAAATGTTCGTTGGCTAAGTAAAGGTCAAGTTATTGAAAGTTTCTGGCTGATTAAAGAAGAAGTAACAACCAGCAGCAGAATGGACACATGTGGCTGCCAAAGGCAATTGATTTGCAAGAAGATGTGTTTTTGCAAATATATAAAACGGTATTCACTGAAGAATTTTGGACCAAACATGTTCGAGAAAAATAAAAATTGAAAGAAACTAGCTATAAATTTGGCCACTATGTTTGGCTCGACATATGTATGTCCAACAAATTTCTCAAAGATTAAAGATGAAAAGATGAAAAACAAATATCTGTCGAGATATTTGTTCCTCTCGAGAACTAAACTGTAAAAAACTGGCTCAAGACCGTCGGTGTAATTTCTCACATTAATGATTGGTTTTGTGTTTTATTATTTAGAATTTGATTTGAAACCAAAATAATACACTTGATTTTTATCAGTTGTTTTTCACCTAAAACAACTTGCCGACCCTTGCTCTATAACATTTATTTATAGTAACCTCTATGTTTTGGGCACAAATACCGGAAAAATTATATTTTTAAATTGGTGAACACGACTGAAGTTTAATAAAATCCGCGCTTATTTCATAAATTGGCGAATGCGCCAATGTACAGTTTGGACTGACAATATCTTACCTAATTCACTATAGCAATAGCACAGATTCCGCATATGAAATCTTAACTTATCGCGTAGGCACCATTTATCAAATTCCAAAAAAAAAAAATACACGAAAAACAAAGAGCACCAGCTTAATATTAATTGACTTCGACGCTAACTACTGGACAGTTGGCTAGTTTCTAACGATAGAAACGGGTTTGCATTTGTTTTTGGAACGGAGTTGACATGTGCGTGATGTTTCACGCGTTCGGCGTTTAATTTTCACATTTCACCAGTCGATTTTCCCGAGGTTTTCCTCGCAAACCTTAACCCGGCTCGGCCCTTCACCTCACTGAAAGGTTGTTTTCGGTTTATCCGCGTTGCGTACTCGTAGTGACGCCGACATCAATATAGGCAAGCGCCAAGACGGCGATCCAGTCGAGTTTCGAGGTTTTTTTCGTGGGGTCGATGTTTTTGTATTGATAGTGCCCCGATAACCGGTAAGATTTCTCTTAACACGCTACATAACTTCAGTCGACTGTGTACAAGTCGTTCGCGTGATATTGAAATCGATATTATTATTTGGTTTGTGAAAAACCCGGCAAATTGTATTTACAGGTTCACACTGTCGTGGAACTCGAATTGCGTTATATTTAGAAGCAACAACATATTGTTTTTCAGGGAGGTGCGCAAGCACTGTAAGAAAATCCTTATGACGCTCTGGGAACGGTGTCTGTAAGAAAGTGATGATTTACAGGTGGTATTCTCACGAGCAATTGGAGTCAAAAATGGATTATTCTGTATTCACACTTTTTTCTGTAATATAAAAATTAGTGAAGTTAAAATATTTCAAAAATGTCTGGCAAACTTCAGTGTAGTACAAATGTAATAATCAAATCACTCTGTTAACGGAGGGTAATGATGCCAGCTGAATGATGTACAGATTATATTTTTTGATAAAACTCTCGAAAAACATGTACTTGTACAAACAGGACACATTCAAAACTGTCACAATCACAACATATTAAAAAATAAATAAATCAGTGATATTCCTCGATCTATAATTTTCTGGTCATCGCTCCATTTATATATACCGGGTGGCGAAAATTTAATTGCACACCATTGATATCTCTGTAACGATAGAAGATATGATGTTGGTTAAATTGGGCAAAAAATGTCCTTTTCAGAATGCGATGAAATAATGTTGAGAAATCTAGGCAGGTTTTAATATCAAGTGATATATAGGGTCTTCCAACAGGGACTTCCGGGTAATTGTTGTTGAAGCTACATGTTGAAGCTACATCTGTAAAATTAGTTGTCATT